TAGAATTTGTCAAAAATAAAGCACGGCTAGTTCCACAATGTTATAGTTAACAAAAAGGTATTTATTATAATGAAACCTTTTCCCCAGTCGGAAAATTATAATATTTTTTCCTTCTAATCTCTTTGGTTGTTAATAATCGTATTATTTTATATCAAATGGATGTAAAAAGTTCATTTCTAAATGGTTACATTTTTGAAGAGGTGTATGTTCACCAACCGCCAGGTTTTGAATGCACTATGTTTCCATAACATGTTTTTAAACATAATAAATCACGGTATGGTCTGAAACAAGCCTCAAGAACTTGGTATGAGAGACTAAGTGCATTTCTCCTAGAAAATGTTTTTTCAAGAGGCAAGGTGGACACTACCCTTTTCTGTAAAAACCTTGGAAACGACCTTAAGATTTTCCAGATTTATGTTGATAACATAATTTTTGGTTATGCTAATCCCTCTATTGCAAAATAATTTTCTAAGTTAATGCATGCATAATTTGAAATGAGCTTAATGCAAGAGTTAAGATATTTCTTGGGAATTCGAATAAATGAAATTCCGGAAGTTACCTACATTCATCAAAGAAAATATAGAAAATAACTTCTGAAGAAATTTGATATGTCATATAGAAAACCAGCAAAGACTCCCATGCATCCTACATGCATTCTTGAGAAAGTTAAGGTAAGCACAAAGGTTTGTCAGAAGCTCTATCGTGGTATGATATGCTCTCTTATCTATCTGACTACTTCTCGTCCAGATATTCTATTCAGTGTATGTCTATATGCTCATTTTCAGTCAGATCCAAGGGAAACTCACTTAACAGTTGTTAAGAGAATCCTAAGGTATCTGAAGGGAACATCTAACCTTTGCTTGATTTATAAGAAATCATCAGAATACAAGCTATCATGTTTCTATGATGGAGACATAATAGAACGAAAAAGAAATTATGGAAACTTTCAGTTTCTGGGTGATAATCTAATTTCTTGGTCTACCAAAAGACATCCAACCATTGCTCTATCAAATGCAAAACCATAATATATTTCAGTGTCACTATGCAGTACTCAAATGCTCTTGATGAAAATTCAATTTGAAGACTTCTATATTTATAAATGTAATATTCCTATATTTTGTTATAAGACAACTGCCATTTGCTTAAATAAGAATCATATTTTACACTGTAGAGCTAAACACATAGAAATTAAACATCATTTTATTAGAGATTATGTTCAGAAAGGGATCCAAATTTTAAAATTTAGAGATACAAACCATCAATAGGCTGATATCTACACAAAACCTTTAGCTGAAGATAGATTTCAGTTTATTCTGAAGAATTTAAACATGGAACTTTGTCCAGAATGGAACATCTTTTATGTGTTTTACTTTTCTTGTGGAAAATATTAGTCTGAATATTATTTAATTATTTATCGATACTTCTGCATGACAGAAGGTGACTTGATAATATTCATCTCAAGTCATGTTTGACTCTTAGAACATTAACCTCAAGCAATGGGAATTTCTTTTGAGAATAGATAAAATCTTTATGTCTTACCCCTATTTGTTCATTTTCAAGAAAATTGATAAGACTTATTTTATTGAAAAGAGATAAAACTAGCACGACCTATCTATTTTCATGTCAAAATAATTTTGTGTGTCAACTTTTCATGACAAATCATCTTGGAAATAACAATTGTCTTTTATTCTTCTCAGTCCCTTGCTCAGTCATTTATTACTAAGTGACTTTTGAGTCTATTTACTTTTCAAAGAAAATTAATTCTCTTGTAAGTTATGCTTTCTCGTTCCCTTTTTAAGTCCTCTTGAAGTTTCATCATTAATTATGTGTCTCTTCATCTACCCTGTTTGTAACCATGTGTCTTGTCTAAATGACCTCCATAACCTTTGAAAAAACCGGGGGAATAGTCATCTGATATAAAATCAATGAAGTCGCCACCGAATGTTTTTATCCCTCCGAAAGGAAAGGTAAAAATCTAGAAAACATGAAGAATGAGAAATCACGGTCTTTTGACCAAGACATAGGGTAAGAGAGTCGGTTACGCGAGGGGAAGATATTAGCACCCCTCACGTTCGTAGTACTCTACAGTATCCACTCGTGTATGTTCTAATCTAAGGGTGTGGTAAAAATCTATATCTAAGGCTTGTAGTTGAAAAGGGAATGCGTGCAAAGAAAATATGGGGAAAAGAAAGGAATATTTTCAAATATATGCTCGATTAGGCCGCACAAAAGCCTTTGCCTACGTATCCCTTTTAAGGAATCAGAGTAGCCATATTTCAGCTCACATATTTTAGTTTGTTGGTATTTTTTAGTTAATAGGACAAAAGTAACAATCAAAATGGAAAAAACATCAAATACGATGGAAAAACATCACCAACAAAGGAAAAGCATCAACAATGATGGAAAAACATCAACAATGATGGAAAAGCATCACAATTTAGATGATAAAACATCTCACCTAACAATGATGTGAAGATCAAAGAAGGATAACAAACATAAGCGATGGTGAAACATCGACACAAAGATGGAAAAATATCATGGCAAAGATGGCAAAGCATTACAATTTAGATGATAAAACATCACACCTAACAATGATATTGAAAATCAAAGTAGGATACCAAACATAAGCGGTAGCAAAGCATCGACACAAAGATAGAAAAATATCATGGCAAAGATGGCAACACATCACATCTTAGATGATAAAACAACACACATAACAATGATATTGAAAATCAAAGTAGGATAACAAACATAAGCGATGGAAAAACATCATCATAAATATAGAAAAATATCATGGTAAAGGCGGTAAGATGTCAACTTAACAAGGTTTAAAATAGAGCTAAAAGGTGCACAAACAACTAATATTGGTTTTTATTTTTTACCTTGAAGAAGGATTTAAGTTCATTAGAGATGTTTTATGATTTTCCAAGAAAAAGAAGGTTTTTGTTTTAAATGCAAATATGAAAAAGAAAAGAAATACAACTAGGGGAGACTATCCTAATCTCTAGTCCTAATATGATCATACAAAGATGGCCCTATGTCGAGGATGAAAGGGGGATATTTATGTAAGTGGACATACATGGATTTATATCCTTAAGTCTAGATGGATGACTATCCTAAACGAGAGATCCTAAAGGAACATGGCATATCAAACAAGTGTTATGGCAAAAGCACACAATGGGGGGTATACTGACTCAGGGGATGGGAGTATGAAGTGAAAATGATTTAGCTAAGGGAAGCAGATCACCCGAAGCAAACAATCGGGAGAGTGAGATGAAATAAAAAAAGAAAAAGCATTACTTTAGCTAATGGGAGTGGATCACCCGGAGCAAACAAGCGGGTAGCGAAGTATCAGTAATGGCCATCACAAACTCCTGACAAAGTGTGGGGGTTGGTTGTGAACCCTTCTCCATATGACTGAGTCGATACACAAGATCTGCACAAATCCAAAGGGTCAATTTACAATGTAAGCTAAAGATAACACAAACTAGAATGTGCGGGGGTTGGCTCCTAACCATCTTCACGCGCCTCCTTTTGAGGACTTATTGAGGTGGGGACATGCGAGCACAAATGTAAACACACCTGCAAAATACCTACTTCAAAGGTAAGATTTAAAAAAAAAAGTAGTAAACAAGGCATATATGCAGAATTTCCTTAAACAAGTCTTTAGATAAACTAGAGGGATTCCTGATAGATAACAACAACGGAGATCCCCATCATACATTTCTATTCTTACTTCTCATGGCATCAGAAAGTAGTAAAGTTCCTACTTCTCATGATATCTAGAAAAGCATTAAAATGCAAGATGAAGAATGAAGTCATGATGATACCTAACGGAGTAGGTCCGTTGCCTCTTCAAAGAGCATGAGATAAGAAAACCATACAGAACACCTCCTTGAACTTTCTCTATCAACCAATGATTAGGCAATCGGGTTGCATCAATAATCAATCGCAAAATCATAGCCCGAGTATCCAAGGTAAATGGAATGCTTAGGGGTATGATAGATGAATTGGGTTATGATTAATCAAAGGGTTGTACTTGATTAATATCATGAGAGTAGGTGCGCATACCCTCAACCACGAGACCCTTTTATACATGGAACACTTGGTATATGGATCAAAGTGATTTATTAGGTTTATGATTAACTAAGGGCTATACTTGATTAATCTCGTGAGAATGGTAATGCCCAAACTCAACTATAAATCCCTTTAAGAAAAGCTTGCTATGTGAACCAAGGAGAGGTCATGCATTTTAATTGGATGATACATGCATACTTTAGCAAAAATTAAAACATACGAAGAAATAAAATTCTAAGTACAAATAAATAAAATTCTAAGCTATTACAACCATATAGGGATCTATCGAATCAACATCACAATTAAAAAAGTCAAAACAAACAAATCAACCCAATCTTAAATAAACAATTAATTAAATTGAACCATCTTAATTGATACCATTAATTAATAAAATAATTAATGATATCAAATAATATTTTTCAATCTAATTAATGATTTGAAACCAAATTATTTTTTTGTATTTTTTATTATTATATTGCTAAATAAAAATCATTAAACAAATAGTAAGACAAAAATAAATATAAATAAATAAAAAAGAATTTAGGCCTGAAGTCAGCAATTCTGGGGGGTGTAGAAATCAATCTGAATCCAAGGCCCAAAAGAAAGAAGCCTAACACGCTAGATATGGTTGTGTGATCCAGTACAATTGGCTGTGGAGATTCTACTGTGAGGAAGAATTTCTAAGTGTTGGATGATGATGATGGGAACCTGATGAGGATCTGATGGCGAGATAAGCGAAGGTGCACAGTGAACCGCTAGGAGTTACGTACACAGGATTGTAAATAACCACTCAGGTGGTGACAAGTTCCATCACCGAATTATCCACCTAAACATGTTTAACAAAATAGAGGAATTAATTAAAAATAAAACATAATCATAATACTCCTTCTCTCTCGTTATTCCCTTCCTCGCTCTCCTCTCTTTCAACAGGGTTCTTGCTGGAAATCGTCCGCAGCAGAAAAGACGGCAACCGACAACGGTTTTCCTCTGATCATCAATTTTATTCCATTTTTTATTAATCTTCTTCTTCTTCTGATCCTTAATCCATTGCTCACATGGTATATGTTTAACGGTGGCGCGTAAAACTTGAAAGGGAGAAACGAAACCATAAATGTTCCTGAACGAATATCCGACAAAGATGACGTGATTCACGCTGCAAAGACAATGATAAGAGATTGTTCATGACAAAACAAAGAGATCTTTCTTATTTTTCATTCTCTCTTCTCCTTTGTTGCCTTCGGTTCCTTGAGATTGCTTTTCTACTTCTTCTTTCTCTATGTTTTGAATGGTTTGTGTGTGGAAAATGATGAGTATATATAGGGTTTATGCTTGATAGCTTGTTGGTTTTGTGATACTTGTTAACGAAACTTGATTAAGCTTTTTCTGCTTTTGGATTTTGTGGATCTTTTTTTTTTGTGGTTCTTCTAGAATGTGAAGAATGATCTAAATCCGTGAACTTTTTGTTTTTATATCTGTTATGAGTTGAGAAGTTGGTCAGAACATGATACAATCTTGGCCTTAGATTTTGAAAGTTTGTTACATGAATTTGAGGGTGAGGATTAATTTTGAGTTCTAGCTTGCTTGAGAATTTTTGCTAAGCTAGAATCGAATTTTTATTATGAGTTTTGTTTCTTAACATTTTGATTTTCTGATTTGTTATAATATGATGAGTTGTCATACTGATAACAGGGTTGAATTGATTTTTGAACTAGCTTGTTGAATTGTTGTGATGTTGGGCTGCGTAAATTTCTGTACTTTCTCCTTATAATAACTTTGGGCTTTGAACCTATAATTTTGACTTGTGATTTTGAGTGCTATTTTTTATGTCTGATATGCCCTATTTTAATATTTGATTGTTGTAATTGGGCTAGTTTTTTACTAAGTTTGCACTTTTGATTTGTGATGCTTCTTGTTGGTTGTGAATTGCAGTTTTTATTGTTATAACTACTATTTTGTTTTTTGTTTATGTTATTAATGTTGGGTTGAATTGTAATTCTGATTGCTCAGTATTTTCTATATGGACCCGCGCCGCCATGTAACTGTGATAAAATATCAGAGTTTCTTTGTCTTTTTACACCTCCTTTTATGAACCAAAACTAGCCTTTTGTGATTTGCAATAGGAGAATAGGCCTATGACTAGAACTTGAAATCATATGTTTATGAATCAAATGTATGTGGCTTTTGTGAATATAATTCGATTCTCTAAATAAACGAATTCCTTGCATAAACCCTAATGATTAAGTTACGAAAAACTTGCTTGAAATCTTTATTCATGTTTGGAATTTTAACTCAAATATTAATGATTTGCTAACCATGCCTCTTTTCTTGTTTCATGTGAGTTGATGAGGAAGATGAAGAGAAAGGTCTTGAAGATGAAGCCGAGGAAATGGCCTTGGAAAGCTTAATGATTTGAAGAAGAACTATTTTTTTGTAGCTTTAGAACAAACATGTCTCTATTAAATAAATGTAACATTGTGATTTCAAATTGTGATTTGAACTTTAAGAATTGAGAATTTGTAATTTCTAGTGAATTTAAAAAAAAAAGTTTAAACTTGTACTTGTAAACACACTTGTAAACTTGTATAGATTCAAATTTGAAACTTGCAATTCAATCTTCTTTTTCATGGTACTTGTAAAAACAAGTTGAATTTTGAATGAAATATCTTAATGAACCTAGATTGATTTCTGAATGCCAAGAGTGTCCACACAATTATGCCGTAAAAGATTGATTCAACTTTGCCAAATTGAAACCACTTAATCTTGTGGAATTCAATAATCATCTGAGTGAACATATTTGCAATAACATCCACATACCAAAACACCATTGATAATTATCAACAAATACATGCCAAAAATATGAGAGAACTTCAATCTCAAGTTCAGCTCTGGTTAAATAACTTCATTAACAATCAATTTATCATTAGAGAGTTCTCAAGCTCAAAAGCTTTTATCATAAATGAAACTCTGACTCAGGATAACCTCAATTGTAAAGCCTAATATTGCACTCAATCACGGACCCTGGGTGCTTTATGTAATAAGAAACAACTCAAGAAGATTAGACTAAGAGTTTTAACAAGAAACACGTCACATATTTCAGGGATCAGAAACCATGTACAAGGTCCAGTGGATAAGAGAAGGATGATATTTACTTCGAAACCCTTGCCATTTTTAATTCTCTGATGGAACAAAGAATCAACTTGAGATGTCACGAGGCCTGAGACGCTTTGGTAACCTGAATGATCAAAATAATGAGGAGATGAGATCCATCTTGAACTGATTGTCAATACAACCACTTCCAAAGCTTGAAGAAAACCAGGAAGATAAGAATACATTGCTGCCATCACAATGCATGGATATGTATGATGAAACATAAGCCATAAAAATTCTGAAATCAAGAGGATAAATTTTAGGGTGCAAACACCTGCCCCTATTCAATAATCTTAAGCTTGATAAGTGAGAAAAGCGACAACTTTCGAACGTTTAAAGTTGAAAATGATTAAATACGAAAGAACCCAAAAATTTACACTCTTGAAAAAGAAACAAAACCCCCCGAAAGAAAAATAAAGCCAGCAGACGCGGGACTTAGAAGGTACCAAATGAAATTAGATTTAGCAAGCAGAGGGTCTAATGAAAATTGTCCCTTCAAAGACATGCGTCAAAATGAAGTTGTAACGCAAACTTTAACAAAATTGAGACAAAACTATAACTTAAAAGAGTAGATGAAACTAAACTTCAGAAAAATGTGTAAGGATAAAACTGGACCACAAAAGGGGTGAGATAAGACTCAAACTGCAGAGAATAGGCAAAGCTTAGCTCTGGAAAAGTACACAAGGTAAAGTTGCTAGAGCTCGTGATTCTAGGAGCACCAGCTAGTCTCAACCATGGGAAAATAGTGAGATGGAACTGAAAAATCCCAAAAGTTATAAAAGAGACAAGTTTCAACCTAAGATAGACAATATGAAGGAACTGAAAGAATCCCAAGATTAAGAAACAAAACGAGATAAAACTCATTTCATAAAGACTAGTTAGATAAAACGAACTAGAGATGAGTAGCAGGGCAACACAAACCGGATTTCCCGCACGGGTAACGAGGAAAAACTCGACCAATAGCAAAGTGATGAGAGTGCATGTTTCTCATAGCACCTGTTGGTCTCCAACCACGAGTAAAAGGTAAACAAAAACTGACTAAAACCCGAATAGGTATAAAAGAGACATATCATGTCGATGGACATAACAAACGAAATCTGTAATACAATAAACAAACACCGTCAAAGGTTCATTAATCAAAAACTGATAGACGTCCAAAGAGTGAGATAAGGGTTTAGACCAAGGACATGGTAAATGAACACCGACAGAAGAGTCCAGGGAAAGAAATAAAACGAGACGACACTCTACTCATAATAACTAGTTAGGCGAGACAAACTAGATAAGTACCAGGGAAAAATAAACTAGATTTCATGCACAAGTGACATGATCAAGACTCGACCCAAAGAAAAGTGATGAGAGCGCACATTTCTCAAAGCACTTGCTAGTCTCGGACCATGGATAAACAATAAATTAAAACTGATAGAAGAATCCAAGGAACAGAGGAAACTGATTTCAACCAAGGACATAGTTAAACAAACACTACAAAGAGACTCGGTAAACGAAAACCGATAAAGGATCCAGTAATCAAACACTGATGGAAGTATAAGGTATGAAAACAAAACAAGATGACACTGAACTCATTATAACAAGTTAGACAAAACAAAACTATATGAGTAGTAGAACGAAAACTAGATTACATGCGCGGATGGGGAGACAAAACTCATAAGTCAACCTAAAGCAAGGTGATTAAGACGTACTACTAAAAAACTGCTAAAAAATATCAGGACGGAACTGGTATTCAAAAGGTACATCAATAGACATTGGAATGAATCAACGAGGGTAGTAAAGACTAAACCCGAGAAAATTGCGCCAAGGTAAAACTGAACTACAATCAACAGTAGACACTGAACCATTCAAATAATTAACATCAACAGGATATTTGTATGGTGTGAAATGAGATACTGAGGATGAAGAACTCACTGAGGATATAATCCGATGTTTTAGAAAATTCACTGGGGAAATCAGAAATCGCAATGGCTAATGTTCCGATGCATGTTTGAATTATTTTTCTATGCAATAGTATTTCAAAAGAGAATGAAAACACTATATTTTGAGGATGCAATGTAATGATGCACGTTTAGATGTTTCGCTGGGGAATGGCAAAATGAAAAAACCAATAACCACAGGAAGAACACTGATAAAACTTGTAAAAATAAATTACAGATTCCGCTAGAGAAGAGAAAATATAAGGAACTGCTGGAAAGAAACCCTTGAAGAGATGAAACTCTATGGGGAATAACAAACCAAGTAACTAGTATAAAAGGGCTACAAACACTGAGAGGAGTTGCAAAAATAAATTGTGAACTCTGCTGGAGAAGACCGGATCGAAACTATAATCGATGAAAAGTGGTGCTAATGAAGATTGGACGTTGCCAGAGAAGATCAGGGCAAGAATGTAATTTCTGAAAAAGATGGCCAAATAGAGATTAGATGTTGTTCGAGAAGATTGCCAACACAATGGAGCCCACAAGGAAACAAAATCCACCTAAAATTTCCTGACGAATAAATTTTCAATTTCTCGCCTGGGGGCAAAGACTTATTTTGATAAGGATATGAAAATCCAAAATGGAGATAAGATAACTTATGCATAGAACTCTTGCTGAAGAGGAGGTTTTCTTGGCGTAAGATACTCAACTGAGGTTTTACGGACAATCTTCAATAAGAATGAACCCGTTAAGGGTACGAGAAAACTCGAATAAGAAATCACGATAATGCAGTCCTCTTGGGATATGGCACTTCTCACATCCAAGATCAGACTCTACTTGGAAAAGGGAGAATTTTTGAACAAGAACTTCCAAATGAAATTACTTAACTGGGCAAATGAAAATTCTTGAGTAAATGATCTCCAATGGGCAGTTTAGCTGGGGAGATAAGTGGCAACCACGGAGATGCAGGGTGTCGACTTCAAGAGGATACAAAAAAGGTATGAAGTTCAATGAAATGATCCTTTCTAGATTCTTCG